CAGCACCTCGCAATTTGTTGATGGGTCAGCTCCTCCCCATCAAAGACTTCACAGGCTCCATCTGATAAGCTCCCCTCAAGCTCCCTAAAATATACGACTGCACGCAGGCACGGGTATAGCAAAAAAAAAATTGCACACCCAACGAGCTGCAGGAGGCAGGTGTTTGCAAATGCCCGGAGGGAAGAACGGACAGAGGGAGGGCAGGCAAGGTGAGGGAACATAGAAAAAAACACACATACGCACACAAAAAAACAAAAAAAACAAAACAATGGAGGAGAGAAAACCTGATATGAGAATAGGAGAAAAACAGGGGGATGGTGAGCTCTTGGGTCAGAAGGGAAGGGAGGTGCAGAGAGAGGGGGAATGAGGAAGAAGTACAAAGAGCAAAGAGGATTGCATAATACGTGTATGCGATGGAGGTTCTCTCTGATGCCGCATGTGGTGTAGCACGGAGGTCAGAGGGAGAAAGTTAAGCTAAATAATGCACACAAGAAGTGGCAGCTGCCAGAAAAATGTGGCCCATCGTTCACAGAGGCCTGCAGGATACGCTCTAACTAGCCCCAAAACTGTACAGGCAGTTAGCTTCTGTCTCATTATTTCACAGACGAGGGCAAGAGCTACTAATTCTATTCAGATTACAAACATCTACAGTAGTTAGTGAAATCAGAGTGGCAGTCAAAGATGGTTTGAAAACAAAATGATTTAGTAACTGTCTCCATACCACTTATCCCTCCAACTACTAAAACATAACCTGCTGGATGCTGGATGAGTGATTGACCGCGTTTTTTCCTGACCTTGCGAAATGTTGAAAATGGCCGGATTACAGTACAGTGTGGCTTTACTAATCCCATCTCTGAAGACAGGAGCTATTAAGATTGAAGAAGTGAGTGAATAAGAGACAGGCAGATATTTATGCGGAGTCAGTTCCTGATCGTTTTGCTTTGCTGAGGGAATCGTGTCACATTCAGTTATTACAAAAAATATATTCTATCAAACCATATGATGGGTACAGATGCCAGGAAAGTAGATGTAATATAAAACTAATCAATGGCACGACATGAGCCAAATGACATGTTCAATGTTCAACAGTGAAGTATGATATATACACCAATCAAAAGGCCGCCAATTAGTCAGGACATGCACATTTAATTTGACAGCGTCTGTTGTGTTGGGATCAGGACATCCAATCGCTGTGTTCAGTGGTGCTGTAACAAGATCGGCAGTCACTTTTCCGCAGTCACAATGTTGCACAGGCATGAACGCATGAGACCGAGCTTGTTCATGAGCGGTGCAAATTTTTTTGCCATCAATTTTTAACTCAACAGTGTTGTCCTCCCAGCTTTGAACAATGTTCCGGGTTCTGCTACATAATGCTCGCACGGAGCACGCGCTGGTTTGATCCCGGGGACGCTTCCCAATGGCTTTGGTTTTACGAGCTGCTTTTGCTGCCGCTGGATGCTTTAAAGGTGATGTACTTTTTCCAACTTCAACCTCATGTTAGACTGATGTCAACTCCGAGATGAGGCATTTGTCAGTTGGGCCTCTGCTGACTAATATGTTTTCAATGATGTGCGATAGCGCTGCAATAAAAGAGGCATTGCACTGAAATGATGTTCTGTTTTTTTCCCTTTTTTTTGTGCAATTGTTGAGAATAAAATGGATCAATTCAGATATGTGCCAGTATCCGCTCCTGGAGGCCATTGTCCAGTACTTTAGAGCACTCCAAAGCATTATGTTTCACATGAGAGGGGTAAAAAAGAAAAAGAAAAGATGCTAGAAATAAAAGTGGACCGTATCTTTTTGGGGTGGCCCATGAACAATAAATACAAAATAGTTCAGCTTCAGTTTATTGGGAACTGAACCAAATTCTTTTCAAATGTGAACTCGCACAGACTGTCGCTAAATAGCTAGAAGGATAAAAAGAAGCCTCATGATTTAAAAAAGGTACTTGCTTGAAAATATGAAGGTATTTATCCTGTGGGGTTTTTCCGGTTTAGCACTCCTTGCTGACTGTACCTATGACCACATGATTATGTAGATATAGGACTCAAGACAGCATATCTCCGAAATAAACATTACAAATAGCTGTAAAGTATTACACAAATAGAGCCGAAATGAGTAGACAGCGAGGTAGGTAAACCACTCAGGAATACCAACCAATTCAGCTGGTGGTGTTTGATGAAAATAGAATGTTCTTTGGCTTTTACTAATCTCATGACAGCCATCGCTGCTCGCTGCAATACAACGACGACCATTCACAAAATAACCCCGCAGCCTTACACTGTACAGCAGCACAGAGTACTCTGAGTGAGCAATGGAATGTTAGATATATGGGCCCCGATGAGATACGAGCCGCGCAAACGCAAGTCTTTGCATGCACAAGGGTGCATGATCTGACAGAATGTCGAGCGTGATGGGGAGATGAAATCAGGAAGCACTAGTGAGACCTTTTCCAGTCTCAGGGAGGGCGCAGACATCTGAGAACTGGAAACCGCTTTTGTAGGAAGCAAAAAGAATCCTTCTCTGTAGTTATGTAAGAGAAAGGCCCCCAAGCCTATCGCTTTCTCCCTGAGCACACACGGAAACCCACTCAGCATAAATGCGAGCGTGGCGTCACACGGCCGCATATAAAGCACCGACAACAACACATGCACACACCTCACAGACAGAAAGTCATTCTTTGGAAGAGACAGCCCAGGCGAGCTCTGATTCAGCTCCGGTTCGTGAGGGCCACCGCTATTTATATGGGCATGCCACATACTCCAAAAAACAGCATTAGCTGTTGGCACTTTGGCAAGTGAACAATGCTGAATAAACCCGATGACGGATTCTAGGTCACCTACGGTTCGCAGTGCAAACTGTGCATGCGTTTGGCTATTTTTGAGGGAGACCTTTTCCCATAGTTTAGCTAAAATAAAAGCCAGTGCTGAAATGACACACACACACAATGTGTTTGACAGAGATATCACAGGCTGGTGCTATTCATTCCTCCCCGAATAATGAAGTTGTCAATGCAATGACTCACATATCCTGACAGATTTATTCTGTATGCTAACATAAGAGCATGAGACCCGCGCGGATGCGTGTATCTGATTGTTACGAGCGGAGCGCATCATCGAAAACAGTCCTACAGCTCCCCACATGTGTGGAAGCACATGCATCAGGGGTCCTGCCTTGGCCGGCGAGCGCCTTCCTGCTGACTCATGCATTTATAATAAATAGACACGGTTGCATAATATGATTACAACCTCAAAAGTTGTAGGCAGGCTCGAACTCGATCATGCGATTTGAGTTGAAGCTCTTAATCTGAATGAAGCCCCCCTTAATAAGCCGGCCCCCTCGCTGACAAGTTGACAGCGGCGCTTTGGGCCCGGCATTAGCAGCACAGAAGATCGTCTGCATGGGAATTAAAACCTGCTAGCGCCAGAGTTCGGACAGGGCGGAGATAGGAGGCAAAGGGAGCGGGGGAAAAAAAAAAGGAGGGCCGTGTACGGGACGGAAAGCGGAGGGAAGTGAGAAAGAGACCAGGAGAAAGGAGGGCAGAGGCGAGTGACTGGGGGAGAAATCCATTTAAATGAAAGGGAGAAAAGAGGCGTCAGCATTAGTGGTTAATCCACTGCAGTGAGAATGCCTTCTCTCTGCCCGAGGCCTCTGGGCTCCAGTCGTCATCACAACAGGAAGACTGTAACAGACCCTACGCTGTATCACAAACAGAAAATCCGAGCATGACAGCCCTGTGAAGTGGGGTTTTCAACCATTTGCTCGCACTGTCCCTGTACCAACACAGTGTCACCGTGCATGAATAAAAGTAAAAAACCCATTCTTTCAGCTCCCGAATGAGCCCTGCTAAAATATGCATTTTGAAAACAATCCACAAACATATCTTCAAATCTGATTTGAGTCCCTGCATCGGATTCTGCTCCAAATTCCTCTCCCTCACCAAACACACGCACAAGACATCTCCAGCGTTACGTGTCCATGCTCCATACCCCAGGGGAGGGCCGTGACAAAGGGAGCATCTCTCTTCTCTTTGCTCCCACCCCTTTTTCTCTCTTTCACCCACACACTTTCTCTATTTAGCTCATGCTTAAAAAGGCAGCCTAAAGATAGAAGCAAGAAGCTGAACAGGAGCCAGCCAAGTGTCATAGCAACAACGTGCTGCGGTTGACAAATACTATCTGGATCGGCCAGGAAAAGTTAGAATCAGAGCTGAAATGAGGTAATCTCGTTCTTTCAAAAGGCCTCAGCCGGGTCTGTTACGGCGAATGAGGTCTAAATCCAAATATGGTTGTGATGCCATCCTGTTAAATGGCGCTGAAGCATCCACATTGACTGTGAAGTTTGAATTAAAATTCTATGAATCACAGCGTGGTGTGCACATGAAAATGATGTGATCTATATGTATTCCAAACCCTGAAATCAGAGTGTGAATGTAAGAAACTAGTGGCACAATGAAGAGAATCAGCTACCTCTGATCAAACGCAGAGTGTGGGTTCTGTGGATTTGGGTGCAGCAGATAATGAGGCTGGACACAGCCCCAGAAATCTTCCCTACCCTGTCAGCAATACTTTATAGAAAAACTTTGCATCCCCTTCCACTGGAGTGCCCCCCCAGAGGGCCGCTTGCACATCAAAGCACTGACTCTGAAATGGCTGCTTTTACTCCCTGCGTGGTACTGCTCCGACACACTCCGCGGCCGATTTTTACCCGACCGACAAAGGTGCGGATTCCCAGAGCCCCACACAACAGGTCCTGTAAATAGACGATGATTTAACGCCTGCTAACACAGTCGCTTTGTTCCTCTGCAGGCGAGTGCCTTAGATTGAGAAAGAAGATATGGCCGTCCGTGTGGGCTGACCAATGCCCCGAGAGTGCGGCGTGACATCAAACCAGGTTACCAATCAGTTATATTCCCACTTGGTTTGTGTGTGTATTGTAGGAGGGAATGCATGGACGCCATGATATGAAGCTGTGTTTTACATTGGGTGTGTCGGACTCACGATGTTGACTTGTAGCGGTTCGGACCCGGGTCTTAACAGCCTCCGCCTCCTGCAGCTCCCTGATCCTCCGGACCGCAGCCGCACCGACGACGACAACTGCCCCATGGCTGCGGGGGAGAGAATCAGAGGGACCATTTTAACCGACACGCGTCAGCACCACGGTCGACCTATTTGTTTGCGGGGAAAAGAATCTGAACAGTTACCTGACTGAGGGAGGAGCAGGGCCAGGGCGGTGAGGGTGCTGGGGGGGAGGGGCAGGGAGCGACACCGCTGTAGGGACGCCCTGTGCGGGGGCTCCAGCGGTGACACGCCCGGGGGCCGAGACAAGGCCTGGGGGGCACTGAGCGGTTAGGACATCTCTAATTCACTGAACACACACACACAGTCTCCTGCCATTCACACTGAAAACAAAACACTCACGCCTTGTCCACTCACCCCCCTCCCGCCTTTTTTCTGTATTGAATTTAAGGTATTTCACATCCAGGAAGTCTATTCTGGTGCACCGGCCGGTGTGTGTGTGTGTGTGCACGGCCGGCGGGCAAAACCATGAGAGACTATACATCGTGCCAAGCGGGCGTTCTCTCAGGTTAAAACCAACTGACTCTGAGTTAGTGCAATGAGAGGTAAAGCTTATGGGAGCGATGAGGCAGAAAATTGGCCACAGGAAAAAAAAAAAAAAGGAGAGAGGGAGGGAGAAAGAGAGGCCACAAAGAAAGAAGGGGTGAGACGGAGGGAAAGGAAACAGAGAGAGGGGGCTGAATGGCGTCCAGAAATATGGGAGTCCATAAATGAGGCAGAGCATACAGGCATTGTTGCAGCTAACAGCGAGTTGTATATAAATACTGGGTTATAAGTACTGGGCTGCCCTTCAAAGTCTGGAGTGTGTGTTTGATTCATTATGGGCCTGGGCTATATTTATCACTGAGTTGGTGGAGGCTACTAGTCAGACATTTCCATCCTACTTTCATCTTTTCCAAACAACATTATGAAAAATGTTTGTTTGTACATTTATATAATAGTTTTTTTACATTATTTTGATGCTATTTTTTATCATTTTATTTTAATCTGTGCGACTCTATGTATGAGTGCTTCGTCCTCTTACTCTGTGGTACAGCTCCGTTGACTGCGTCTCTCTAGAAACGCTGCTCTCTATGACAGAGAATGGCCTGGAGCGGGCGGCCATCCGTCTCTGCGCCGGGGAGTGGTGCGCGGCGGCGGCGGCAGGCCTGCGTCTTTGGCGGGGCAGTGAGCCGACCTCGCTATAGTGGCCGTAGAGCTCCCGATCTGGGACGGGCCGCCGCAGGTCCAGCACGGCCGAGGCCGGGCGGGGGCGGCTTCGCAACCGCTTGTGGGGCACAGAGGTCCTCTCTGTGCTAGAGTGGGCCGTGCCCGGACCCGGCTGTCTGATACTGCAGCCTGTCTGGCTGGCAATCTGCTCACACAGCTGTGATTGGCAAAGATACTCAGCGGTTTGGCCCAGATAAAAGTGCAACAATGCATTTCTTGTGCAGGGAATTAGAAAAGAACGTCTCTGTAGATTTGACAAACTCATATTTCATCGCAAAGTATTCTAGCAGACACCAGCTCTATATTCTGACTGCAGAGTATAAAAGTAGATAGCCAAGCGCTGAGTCTGTTGATACTTAAGTTCATTTAAGAGGCACAAGGATTTATTTTTTTAAACATCTGGAGACGTATTTCACTTCCTTAAGTTATCTCCTTACTGGGTGAAGCATTTCTTTCATTGTTGGAGCCTTAAGGGAAAGCATCCCATCAAACAGCATCACTCATCCGAGCATTGTGTCTTATGTCAGAGAAACATCACTCTGCAACACAGCTGTGATATTACAATGTTTCTATAATTTCATAGCATTTTTTTGGACCATTTATGCTAGATTTTTACACCTTTTTGTGGTGTAAAACTATTTTTCATAAGATGAACTCATAATTTTAATAGTAGAACCACGTGAAAATGAGCCACCTAGGTTCTTAATCCATTCTTGTCAGGTTAGAGATTTCAAGTGGATTTTCTGAATTTCTTTTTTTTTTTTTAAACAATCGAACAATAATAACAAAATGAGGAGTTGCGTTTAAAATGAGAAGCTACAGAAATTCCAGTTCAAGCCAGGTGGGGTATTCATCAATATACTGATCGAGAATGACACATTTCTCTTTTCTGTATATGGTTCGAGGAACATTTTATGTTCAAGATGGCTCGACATCCCTCCAGTTAAGTCAGTTCTGATGGTCTCCCACAACGCTTACCCTCTCGCTTGTTTAAAGCTAAAAAAGAATCGACTTAGTTCTTCCAATGACTGATGTAACCGTAAAACCAATTAGAATTGCACTAAAGATTAGCACCCTTCCCAAAACAACTGCTCCCAAAAGCCCTTGACTCTTCACAATAAACCCTTACGAAAGGGTGCTGAGTATTGAGTTGTCATATCTCATTTAGTCACAAGGAGTTGGGGCTGACATGTCCTGACTCGTTGGTATGACTGGAAGGGAGATGACTAATTCTTCCAGTGGAGTGAGAAAGGGAAGGCTGCTGTCATGCAGAGCTGACGTCACGGAGCTCCAGGAGCTCCAGCAGTCTCACACCGCTACCTCCACGGGAAACGTAGGGTTTCCTCGCAGCCTACAAAAAGGCTGCCTAAGCAGAAAAAGGGACAAACTCCTGCAGTGTGGTGTTGTGTTCTTTTGTAATGACTATTTCCTCTTTTCTCCAACAGATGGGGCAAAAGGACAACAACAGAGCTGGTGTCCACCTCGTGCCCTGGCCTGGGCTTTTTTGGGACCACACCTACTACCTACGATTGTATCAGGAAGAAATGAGCAACAGATCTGGGACCAGCTGCGTTCGAGCTTTGCTGCTGATGGTTTAAAGAAGCAAAAGAATGACCGTGGTTAAAGCGGTTACATAAATGGTCTTTCGAGCATTTGTGCAGTAATTACATGACACATGCCTCTGGCGATGTTAATGATGTGGAAAAAGCCTGCAATGGGATGTTGTTATGGCATAAATTTCTAGCACGTTATACATCAATATGCTCTCGTGTAAAAAAAAAAAAGGAACCGGAACACAACAAACATTCGGCGACAGAAATGACTGACATGTCTGAAAATGCACTAATTAAAAAACAATTATCTGGAAATGAATGCGGTTCACTCTTGGCTTAAAATCACATACCTTGAATATTTCTTCTGTGGAGTCTGAGGCTGGTACGCTATTGGCTATGCTCTCTTTGTCACCTTGCTGTGATTGGACATTCACTTCCTGTATCTGCTGGGAGTCCAAAGGAGCGTCCCTGGAATCCTGCTCATTTCCTGTCTGTCCCTTTACTTTCTCCTCTTCACCGAGAAATCTCGATTGATCCCCTTCAACCACAGCTTCTCTTTGGGCCTCTGTGTTTGGATCCGAATGAGGAGCATGGTTCTGCACAACAAATGTGGCCTTCTGGTTTGTCTCCCTGTTTACGGGTTTGACTTTGGTGTTAGCACTCTGAAGGCCATTAACAGCTTGGGGTCCTGGACATGACCTAAAGCCTTTCAGCATAACTTTCGGGGACGGTCCACCTGTCGCAGGTGGTTGAGTTTCACTGTCAAAGCCATCGAAGTTTGAAGATATTTCACTCAGTGCTAACGATGGGGCAGACTGGGGGTTTGGAGGTCTTTCATTGTGGAGAGTCAGCAACACGCTGTGAACGTTGTCCACCGTGCGCTGTGGGGCCCGGGGGGTGCTCATCGGAGTCTTCTCTCCCTCTGGAGGAGAAAAGGAGCGGGATGTGGTTCGCCACTTCCTGGCTGATTCTGCTACACTGTTGAAAAATTTGAACAGGCCACCGAAGGTTCCCTTAGTGTCCGAGGGCTTCGGGGGTGGCGGCTGAATGTCCCTGACGCTCTCTAAATCCACGGAGCCATAGTCCGAGTCCATGGTTTTGTCCAGCGAGTGAAGCTCGGAGTCAAAACTCCTCTCCGAGTAGACCGGGTTGGCCTTCCCCAAGAGGGAAATCCTTCTCAGGTAACTCCACACATCTTTGTGTCTCCTCCCGCCGCCGTGGTGGGTCCTGGGGCTGCTCCTGACGCTGGCCTCTTCACAAGCTGCGCCGACTCTGTTGCAGTTGCTGGAGTTGTTGCTGCTTCTTTTAGCGTAGGTGACTCTCTCGGAGGGTTTGCAGCCATTCTGAGTCACGGGTTCTCCTGTTACGGCGGGCTGAAGGCCATCCAGAGGGGATGAGAGGTCCAGGTCTTCAAAGGAGCAGTCGAATTCCGCGGTGTAGCCGGCATACGAGTGCCTCTTGGCGCGGTTTTTCAGCGTCCCCCTGCTGCTCTGCTGAGGGGTGCCGATATCCCGGCAGAAGGTCTCCTCGTCCACCAGGGAGCTGGTGAACTTAGCCGTGGACAGCTTCCCGGTCTTTCCTCTGAACACGGCGGGCGATTTTAGCTTCTTGAAGGAGCGAACTTTGTCGGCGAACGTGAGTTTAGGGATGGAGGCCTCTCCGGGCAAAATCATGGAGTGGGGCCTCCTCTCCAGCTCGGGCACGGCTCTCTTTCGGTTCAGGATCTTCCAGATGCCCCCGGTGCCCCCCCGGGGCCTCCGGCTGACCTCCAGTCTCTCTTTGGCAGAGGTCTGAGTCTGAGAAGAGGCAGCCTCGGCGAGCCCTGGCCCAGCCTCTTGAATATACACGCTGCTGGTTTCATTCTCCACATCCAGCGACACGTTAAACACGCGGTTGACAAACGCATTAGGGTTGTTGCTCTCAGGGGCAGGACCGTCCGTCTGTTCCATCCTCTCTCATTCTACAGCGTCAGCTATCAGCCCCAGCGGACATCATGTTTAGGTCTTCTCTGTCTCTCAAACACCTGAAAGGACACAATGACATTTGTACCCAAGAGGTTAGAGTTAAACCCATGACAATACCACAGCTCGTTCAGTCAAAACTCCCTCGTATATTGGATTAAATGTGGGGTTTCACCAGTACATCCAATCCAAATGCTGTGTTTTATCCACACGGGAGGTCAAACAGTAACAGATATGCAGCTCCAGACACAATAAGCACCCAAAATATTTTTCTCCAGTGATTTTCTGACAGACTTTTGTGCCTTCTGTTAGCGCACACAGCCCCCTCCCGCCTCATATTTGGTACATATTATCCAAAGTAATTATTTGAGACATGGTCCCCATCCACCGTTTAAACCAGGAGCTTGTGTTGTCATGGAAACACTCACTACAGAGATGTCTGGTTATTTCAGACCTGCTCCAGCTGTGACATCACCGCACAGCTAAGATAAGCTCCTTGTGAGGAGGAAGATGCTTGGAGAGCGCTACCCTGCCACATGCTAATCGCTCTTGTTTGGTAATCCCTTTAATGTACGGGGGCATCTTGTGAGATTGGGGCCGCAGGCAACAGGAACTGTTGTCACAGGAGATCTGATACAAAGATTTGCTTCCGTTATGCCGGCCTTTAAACGGACTGTCCCAACTACGATTTGAAGCTTTTCTCTTGGAAAAGGGGACTCCCAAATTTACAAAGTCTCCAGAGGCCAGTACAGCCTCGTGTGCAAATGTCTGGACACTGACACAGCTGTGTTGTGTTTGTTGTTTCCCAGAGCAGATTCAACTCACAGATATCTAATAAATACAGTCTCCAAGTGCATATTCTTATCTGAACATAAGATTAACAGACATATTTTAGGAATTTGAGCTTTTGTGTTTGAGAACACAAGCAACCAAGAATACTTATAATTCAGTTTTAAGTGCTTTTGGCCACGGAAGCAGTTTAATGGGCAGGTGTGAGCAATTATCAGACATTAATTTCAATCTTCCTAAACCGAGCGTATAAACGTGTGGAATGAGCATTTAGCTGCATTTAGGTGTTCCAAACTCTCAAATATGCTATGAAAAAGAGTTCTCAGAGTGAGCCAGAATGCCAAAATAAAACCAATCCATAATAAACGAGCTAAACGGTTTGGTTCATTCCGAGAGAAACAACAGTAACGTGAAAGCCTGAATACACACAGAACAGCGGTGGCTGATCACAGGATCCTTCTGCAGTGGAAACCAACAACAACAATGGAAGCTGACCCAACTAAATGGAGAGCACTCTCCAGGAGGTAGACATAACACGGCCCAAGTATAACGTACAGGCAGGACTTCATAAGATGAGATATAAAAAGTTCACCACAAGCGTCCAGATTGGAAAACAGAACAGAGAGATCCAAAATATTGAGAAAAATCAGCCTTACAAAACAGACATAGCAGTACTAGAAAAACACTTAATTAAAAATCATCATATAAAGCAACCAAGTCCCATATGGAAAACACCACTACTATTCACTGAGGATGTGAAAATGATGAATTCTACGGTATTAAGAGGTAAAGAGTCAGTGAAGTTGATCGGAGGACTATAACATTACAATCCTAAGGCTAGCTGTTACAACTGTTGAAGAATGGGCCGCTGAATATTCCACAATGGCATAGTCAAATGAACTGTTGCTAAATTTACATGAGAACAACACAAAGAGCAAAAAAAAAAAGAAAAGAAAAGAAAAAAGAGCAGCCATCAGCTGCTGAAAGAGTGGCTTGTCAAAGCATAAAGAAGGAGGAACCCCATTCTTTTGATGGTGTTTGTGGCCATCAAACCTTTGGATGTCAGTGCCTGTTAAAACCAGTCACGACAAACCGTTGAACAACCAGCCTTTCGTTTGTGGTTAACCTGTGCAGTGACAAGAAGACAATGTAGTCATATTAGAGCTCAGGTCCCTTTATCTTGTGTAAATACTCTCCAATCAAAATGGTACACTCAAAGCTTAGACAGTATTATCCCATTAACTCGGATTTTACATGTTGAAGAGCTCCATGCGTGATTGTGGGCTACCCAGGAAACATAGCAGGAAGAAAACTTTGGCCTATTTTTCCACAAAACATTTTAACCACACAACAAGTTGCACATACACGCAACATATAAATCCACAGCTGATAGTTCATGTAAACAACCTGCTTACCGGTTATAAGGGAGTACAGCCTCAAAGCGCACGGATTCCAAAAAAGTTGTAGTTTTCTCTAATTCACGTCACTGCACTCGAGTTATCGCCAAAACCAACGAGATGTGTGTTTATTTAATAATAAGTTATGTATTTAGAACGGTGGTCGACTAATACGGAAAGAAAAAATCCGTCCAAAACTCGTGAAAAGACGGACCCGAGGGCGCAGCGCTCCAACCGGCCGCGTAACTGGGCGAGAAGTTGAAGAATCGAAAAGTTCGGGAACTAAGGAACCATGCAAAAAAAAAAAACTTTACCAGAGTAAAGTTAGCAGCCAGAGGAATCTGCTCCACTCACCCGTGGGCAGCCTCCCCCCGGTTCAGGAGCGGCGCATCGTCTTAAAAGTTGCTCCGAAATGCGCGTCAGACACCGGTGGAACGTCCCCGGTCGTCTTCGCTTCTGTCCGGGGCTGAAAGGCGGACGTTGGGTTGTGGACACCAAATCCCGAGCGGCTCATGTGTGTGGGTTTTTTTTCTTTCTTTCTTCTTTTTACGCCTCTAAACGTAGTCCGCTCACATCAAAGTTTGAGAAACTCCCCGACTTGGACAGACCGGTGAACTCTTGCCCTGCAGGCTTCTACAGACTGATTTGTGATAAAGCTCTCACGCAGACATGGAAACACACGGAGACACGTCCTCCACACACACACACGCGCGCACACGCAGACACACTCCCTCACACCAAACAATACATGGAAGAAAAAAAAATCTCCATTATCTGAAGAAGTGACACACTGACGATTGCTCATTTAGACTTAACTTCTGTTTTAAATGCCACATTACAAGTTCTAAAGTAGATTTAAACTGTTATTTACTGTAGCCTACTTTAATCTCATTCCTTTCCCATCATTTGGTGTAAATTCCCACCCATTCTCTAGATGTTGTTGCATTTTTTTTTTATTGTGGACTACTTGAAGTTGTTTTTTTTAATCAATTTTGCTGGATGGATTTAGAAGAAAGCACTTGTGGTTTCAAAGGGAACATCAGCGAAAACAAGTGATTGACTGAACTCTGGTCTCACTAGCAGATACTCCTTTGGGATTTGCTCTGAATGTGAAAATCCTTCTATTGAAATGACACAATGGGGAGAGGGAGCGCAGGGGGGGGGGGCGAAAAAAACTGAAGGAATTCACAAAACTAAACAGATCCAGAGCTGCGTATAGCTGCGAAAGAGGAGATGGTGGAAGAAGGGGGCCTAAATTTAAACATTTCCTCTTTGTCCTGTTTTGGGTCCATTGTCGTGGCATGGCGTTCTCCCTCCTGAACAGGAAGGAGTGGATCTGACATCAACGCTCTCAGCCTGACAATGCCAGGAAGTCTGTCTGACTGTATGTAAATATCTCTGTGTGTCCATGCTTCCCCTGCTTTGCCCGCGGAGCTGCTCCCTGGCTCATTCCCCCCCTCTAAAAAGCAGCTCTCAGAACCTAAAGGGTGTAGTTGTAAGCAAGGAGTGAGATGGTGGTTCACATGCCACGCTTCCCTGATAACTCATCCACAACTGTCACTGTGAATTACCCCGACCTCGTCTTCCAGTGACCTCCTCTGTAATGAAGCATCTTTTGAATCCCGCTTCCAGCGCAGAATTTCACAGGTCCGTCCTTTTAGTCAGTGAGGGATTTCTAAGTTATGTTATTTTTTTTTTCTTCTGCCGTCAACGTCCTCCCCACAAACACACACACGCAGTTTTGCATTGAGCCTCTTTTTTCTTTTTCCGCTTCTTTGCTCGCGCTGCCTCGCTTCTGCCCTCTCTCCCCTTTTTCTTGCTCACTTCCTCAGGACCCCGAGCCGTCTTCCTGCTGTCCCCTGGCCATCACAAAAGACATCCTGGCTCGAACAGGCCAAATGTTTCAGCTCTGATCTGGCCCTTGTTGACTTGAGAGCGGCCCACCCCCACCGTTTCATTTTTTTTTTTTTTTTTAAGCATTCAAACTCACCCCAAAAATTTTTTTCAGTTACAGAAAGTAGTGGAGGAAAAGAAAAAAAACCTCAAAGGATGAGACGACAAATCTGACATGCCTGTGTCTGGGTTGTCATGCCCTGTTGACGTATGGCGAGTTTACTCAGTGGCCTATTTACAGAGAGCATTGAACACTCCGAGCAGAGCTCTTTGAAATGATGTCATTGGCCTCTCGATTTCAGAACAATCGACCTCTTCCTCCTCTTCCTATGACACGGTCCGCACTCTTGGGTTTGGTGGAGATTACTGGAGACAAACACTCGCAGAGTTCGGGCCCGGCTGTAATTATTTCACCAGTCTTTGTCAAAGCCGCTGAGTGAAAACAGGCTGCCGTGAAAAAGCCAGCCAGACAGGGGAGGGAGGAAAAGAGGGGGGGGGGGGGCAGATGTGTTGTGATATCAAATGAAAGGCTTACTATAGCCTGGGAACTGGATTCAGGAGCTGTAAGTCATGTGAGAACAGCTGGGAGGTCGGTGGAATTCTTGTTTTCGGTGCAGGTGTTCGGTATTGGGAACACTGGGGCTGAAACAGCCTGTGTAATTTTACCACATGTTCTCAGATGGGGAGGACTGCTGAGTTTAAGAGGGCCAAGGGAAGTGGATGCTGATGACATGATGAGAGCAAGGAATATGCTGGGACTCCTCATACGGCCGTGCATACAAAATCTGCATTTTGCCCACTTTTGGTAGAAAAAAGTATGTCCAGGTCAGTCTTGCCTCTGGTTGTAGAAGAGAGTTTGAATTACTTGGACATTCCTGACATTCCCTCTGCACTGACCTGCATACTTTC